CCCTTCTTGGACTTTTTTGCCTTCTTCACCTTACCCTTTTTACCAGTGCCACTGGCAGAAGCCTTCTGGGCTTCAGGTTTCTTCTCTTTAGTGTCTGGCTTCTCAGTTTTTTCACCCGCCATCTTGCAAGATGGGAAAGAGAACTAAGATTCCCTGACACTGATTTTGTGTAAGCCACCTTGGAAGTGGATTCTCTAGCTTCATTTAAAACCTTCTGATGACTGTATTCTTGGCTGCCATTCAGCTATAACATCAAGAAAGACCCTGACTGAGCCAGAACTACATAGCTAAGCTGCTCCTGGGTTTCTGTACCACCACAACACCTGTAAGATAGCATGTGTTTACTATTTAAATTACCTCTCAAATTTGTAGTTTTTTTCCCCTGAGTATTGGAGATCAAACCCTGGGTCTCATGCATGCTAAGCAAATAGTCTATCACTGTGTTATATCTCTACCCCCAAATTATATGTAAATTTAAGGGAAGGATAATTTTTATATCCAATAGATAACTATAGATTACTAACACAATGTCATATAATGAAAGAAAGCCAGGAAAATGATATTTTATTTCAGTTGGCAGGATCGTGTATTTTCTGGCCCATCTTTGTCTTTCTTGGATAGATTAAACACTAAGAAAAAACAAAAGGCAAATTTTATCAGAACTGATATTCTCCAAACTTGTGTCAGTAATACACTAAAGCACTTACTTTATTATTAGGTATAGACCTATGCCATGGTTCTGGGGACCAAAAAGATAAAAACTAAAATGGGCTTAATACTTTAATGATAAAGTTACTTTAAAAGTTGACAGGAATTTAAATGACAAGTTTTAAGACTCATTGAACAAGGGGCCGGGGAGCTAGCTCAGTTATATAAGCGCTTGCCTAGCAAGTGCAAGATCCTGAGTTTAATTCCTGGTACAGCAAAAAAAAAAGACTCATTGAAGAGGGACACACACACCATTCTAACAGTAATTAAGTCCATCTCCATGAAGGCTGCTCTCCATATTTGTAGTCCATTTGTCCCCTAATTTTAGTGTCCAGTGAGATGGGATCACTGTAGTAGAAACAATTCAGACTGACCCTCATTCAATTTGAAATTCTGCCTCTTCCTAATTATGTAGGCTTTGTCAAATTATTATTATTATGATTTTCTTTTTTGTGGAACCTGGGATTGAACTCAGGCCCTTGCGCTTGCCAGGCAAGTGCTTATTCTGCTGAGCCATCTCCCTGGCCCCTGTCAAATTATTTAACCAACAGAATGCAAAGTATCTCAGGACCAGTTCATTATAGATGTTAATCTTGTTTTCATTTCCAGCATCTCAAATAAGATATATTAATTACATAATTCTTGCAAAAATTCAAGGGGGCCATATAAGATGAACCATTGGAGAAGTCACTTTAGAGTCATTATTTTGCCAAGTGTTCATAGAGGGCTGCCCTATTAGCTCAGTGGACTAAAACACCTGCTTAGGCAGAGCTTAGTCCTGCATGCTGTGCCTGCCCTGCCCCCAGGGGCGTCCTGAGACTGGGCGTGGTGGTGCATGCCTGTATTCCCAGCGCTTGGGAGGCTGAAAACAGGAGAATCACTACAAGTCTGAGCTACATTGTGAGTCCCTGTAGACCCTGTCCTAAATACAGAAAAAAAAAGTGTTCATAGAAAATACCCTTACCCAGGCCCTTCTTGAAAATCTCCAAAAATAAAAGAGGGAGGGGCTGGTGAGGTAGTTCAGTGGCATAAGTACCTGCCTTGCTAGTGCAAGGTTCTGAGTTCAACTCCAGCACAAAAAAAAAGGTTTGCAAAATCCAAAACATAGCATTGTGGAGAGTAAAAAAAAAAAAAAAGACAAGATTATCTCTCGGTCACTTTTACACTTATATATAGGCCACAGAGAGGTACCTATGTGCACTGCCAGCTCCAGCCTCCCTCCTTAGCCCAGGTGATCACCTTTCTGAACTCTTTTGGGTCTGTGCACACTAGATGAACACAAGTACAACTACTTCACTCATGCTGTATACCTCTAAATCATAACACTGTTTAGGAAGTGCCTTTTTTTTTTTTTTTTTTTTTGGCCAGGTTAGCCCACCCAGGGGGGTGGGATGGCAGAGCATGTGGTGCAGGTGATTGAAACACGGTCCCTGCACTTGCCTAAGCTTGCCTAAGCAGGCACTTTGGCCTGCTGAGCTATCTCGCCAGCCCCTAAGAAGTACCTTTTAACAAAAAAGTCATAATTTTAATGAAATAGCCTCTTAATACTATTTTATAAATGACTTTAAGGTAAACAAAATTTTCCACTTACTCTTCAGCAGGCAGGCCAATTAACAGCAACTTCTCAGATTCTTTTAAATAAGCTACATGAATTTGTTTTCCATTTAAAATGAGGGATGAGCTAAGAGAAAATAAATTTCAAATAAGGTTAGAGTATCTTTAAATATCATAAAATTATAAAAATACCATAAAAATTACATATGGTACGATTTAAGAATATAGTGCTTAAAAAACAAATTTCTTGGCATATATATCGAACTGCCACACAGAAAAGGCCAAAGAATTATGTGACAATGAAAGTACATTCTAAAATATTTTTAAAACAACCCAACAAAACTGCACTAAACAATAGTACATTTATTATTAAAAAGAATGTTGACATTTTTTAATAACATTAAGATGCTACATACATCTTTTTTCCAAAAGAAACTTCTTTCTCAGTTGAATATTTAATATACCTTTTATGAACATGATTGGTTAAAAGTGTCACAAAAAAAGAAAAAAATGGTCCCAGCTCAGAAAATGACAACTAATCAGATTACCAGTCAGATTTAAATATGTCCTTAAGGAAACATTTGGAGTAATGTATATAATGTAATAATAGTTTCAGGACACATATCTGTTTTGAAGCTGATTAAATTGTGCATTTTACATATGTTGAATTTATTATACTTAATTATGTCCATGAAACTGTAAAAGGTTAAATACATTCTCAAAAGAGACTGAATAATGAACTATGGAAATATAGAGAAAAATACAGAGCTTAAACATAAACATTTTTTCTCGAAAAGAAATTTCTTTTGTCTTGTTAAAAAATACATGTATGTTTAGTCAAATAGTAGACTCTTTAGTAGTCAGACTGATATTACTAGTTTTAAAAATGCAAAAGCCACGAGACATACCATACCTGTTATTATAGAGTCTTTAAAATAGTAATTTTCTTTCTTTTTCTTTTCTTTCTTTCTTTTTTTTTTATTTTTTTTTTTTATTTTAGGGAAGGATCTACAGGGTGTTTAGGGTCTCACTACTAGATCTGGCTTGTAATGATCTGCCTGTTTACCCTCCCAAAAGCTGGGATTATTGGTGCACGCCACCATGCCCAGTCTCAATTGCTGTCTCAGTGTGCCCTGGGGTTGGGGCTGGCACAGCAGGCCATGGGATGGAACCCCCAGCCCCCACACCTGCTTGCAGGCACTTTAATCCACTGAGATATTTGACCAGCCCCAAAATAGTAATTTTTTTGAAGTTTCTTCAGAATCGATGTTTAGCTGTTTCTTTCCACATGTTTAACTCATTATCTAATCATCACTAACAATATCTAAATAATAAATAATATGACAGCTATCCTACATTGTACAAAGGTGAACTTACATGAAGGATTTTTTTTTTTTTTTTCCTGGCTCAGGATGCTTTGAGGGCAGGCCTGGGATGGCATGTGGATCCGGGGATCAAACCAGAGTAACCTGAGCCTGAGTGCCTTTGCTTAAGCAGGCACTGAAACAACTGAGCTAATGGGCAGGCCCCCTAGGTGAACTTAATTGAAGAAACTTAAATTTTTAAGTTTCTTAAAAGAAAGGCTTGTACCTTAAAACATGCTAAATCAAAGAGGTCAGTCACATATAACCAAACATCATAAAGTTCCATACATGTGAAATGACTAGAACAGAGAAATGTGTAGGTATGGCTGGGGTAGGCAGGTTGAAAAGGCACAGTGTTTCTCTTTTGACGTGACAAAAATGTTGTAAAATTGACTTTGGTGCTGGTTACTCAATTCATGGACATCCTTGAAACCATCTACTTGTATACTTTTTAAATGGATGAAGTGTAACATTGATGAGTTGTATATCGCAGGAAAGGTGTTAAAATATGTAAGTGATAGGAAGGGCTGGACATATAGCTCTATAGCATTTGCCTAAATATGTGAGGCCCTAGGTTTGGTCCCAGCACCATAAAAATCAGTCAGTAATAAAAAAAAATTAAAAAAAACTGTCAATGTGCTTCTATTTGTTTGTTTTTTGAGGCAGTCTCCCTATGTGGGCCAGCATGGAGGTGATCTTCCTGCTTCAGCCTCCCAAGGGCTAGGATTACAGGCATGTGCCACCAGGCTCAGTGCATGGTGTTTATAAATGAAAATGTATACTCTAAATGGAGAGCCAGGTACCCCTGTCTTGAAAAATGAACCAATTTCTATATACAGTATCCATCCTCAATTAAAAGCCACAGATTTAAGTATGACTTTTATCTAGAAGAATAAGGAAATTTTTCTGTTGCCTTACAGATCTTGCCTCTTTCTAAAATCCTAAAAGTCCTGCAAAATTGAATTTTATATTTTATTTATAAGATGAGATGCATCCAATTTGAAATAAACTTTACTCCAAGATTATTAAAATATTAAGGAAGAAAATTTGTAATACTTAATCTTTTTATTTTATTTTTTAAAGAGGTACACTGAGTTCTTCTGTCTCTAAGTTAAGCAAGGCTTGTCAGTGTTAATGTTTGGTAAGTCAGTGTGGAATAAGTAACTATTTGATGTGTTCTTTTTTTCTTTCTTTCTTTTTGTGGGTGCAACAAAAGGTAGGAACTCACACATGGAGACGAACACTGTACCAATGAGCTACATCTTCAGCCCTAATTTTTAAGTTATCTGACAGCAGTGTTGTTTATCCATCACTATGTAATCTGCACAGATAACAGATGACAGTGAATTTTGAATATTCCTCTTAAAGTACATTCTGCATGTTTCTATAATTGCTGTAAGAAGAGAGTATTTTTTAACTATTTGAAAAATTCAGAGCTTAATAATTCTTGCCAATCACAAAGGTATTGTCTAAGAATTTAATCAAGTAAAAATATGAGTCTGGGATAGTAGTACATGCTTGCAATCTGTGGTAGGCTGAGACATGAGGATTACAAGTTCAAGCTTAACTTAGGCAACTTAGAAAGATCCTGTCTGCAAAAACAAACAAACAAACAAAGACTAGGAATATAGCTCAGTATAAAGGACCTGTGTTCAATCCCCAGTACTATGGAAAAAAAAAAAAAGATATGACTTACCTAAGGATATCTTAGCTATGATTATAAATATTTACACTATAGATACAATTATATTTGTATAACATTTATTTTAGAGTTTTACTGTATTTATTGCAAAGAAAATAACTTGATCAAAAAGACTTAAAGCTACATAAAAATTATTACCTAGTCACTTGTGTCCCCGTTACATTTTCCAGCATGTCACAGAGTGTGAGAAAAATTCCTCTCACACTTTTAAGTTTCTGAGATGCTTCAGACATTGGATAATGATAAAGAATTTCTTGCTATTAAATGAAAGGAAACAGAAATGATCAAACTGCCCAAAATTTCCAGTCATTATTTTTGTGATAGAAAGTTGAGACTATGTATTAAGAACAACAAAAACAAGAAAGAATTTATTTATTTTCAGTGGGAACTGTATTCAAATAAAGAGAAGTATGCTTGGGATCTTAACACATTAACTAGCATTTAAAATATTACATTGAAAATACATTAGAGGTTGCTAGTTGCTCTTGATACCACACTGTATGCTAAGTAGAAATCTGATTAAGTGAAGTTACAATTAATTTCAAGCTGTTTTAAACTTTAATCTCCTTAATAATTTCTAATATGAATATTTTATTTATATTTCCTTATACAACTATTCTTATCCACCATGGCTCTATAGCTACTTATACCACATGTAACTTTTAGGAATTAATTCATTTACCTTCATAATTAACTTTGAAAACCTAATCTTTATTTTTCATAAAATTATTAAATGCTTACTTATGCCCAAATTCAAAATTACAATTAAATATAAAAGTGAGACAACAAAAGTAAAGTAATCCAAACAGGGAAAAGTATCACAGTATTATAAAATCTGTCTTAAGTTTGAAAGAATTTGCAAACTTCAAGTCAATCTGAATTCAAAAGATTAAGTGAGAACATATTTTATTTTAAATTATGCAGAATACTGGATCTATAAGATACTTTGCAAAATCCTATTATTGTTTTTTTCCTATTTTTAAAAGCATATTCCCAGGAAACAAATGGCTTTTACAAAGTACTATCTCAGAAACAGGATGTGTACCATGCTAATACTTTTAAAATACAGAGTGATGAACCATTGTATATCTCCTTTTTGTTCTTAAACCAACATTTTTTTTCATAAGACAAATTATAAGCATGTAAAATAAAAATTAGAAGCCATGGAGAGTTCAGAGTAGTGCCTTGTTTAATGACTATATCCATAAATACAGTCACAAAATGAAAGACTAAACTCCTTAAACATTATGTATCTTTTTCTGAGTTCTCTCTCTAAAGAATGTTATAATTCTGCTTTATGGTCTGTGTAAGAAATAATTATATAACACTGTATCCATGTATAGGTAACTTTTATTTAATTTATTTTTTTATACCTCAGATATTTTTATTTTAAAGAGAATAAAAAAAGTAGATAATGGGCCAGCCAGATGGCTTGCCTGCAAGCAGGCACAGGGCCTGGGGGTTTGATCCCTAGGCCTGCAGTACTGCCCCCCCCCCCCCGGGCATGCTGAGATGGCAGTTGAA